GATACGAGGGACGGTTGTTCTCATATGTTTAATTGTTGACCTTTGTTCTCAATGTTAGTAATATCACTTGATCAAACATTTTCTAAAACTCTACAATACAAGATAGGCAATAAAAGCTCGTATGATGGGCTCATTATCAGTTTTAGTCAATTCTAAAAGCTGTAATATCTAAAATGGAAAATGTTTTATCTGGACACCCCTAATAAACTCTTTTGGTTTGAATCACAGGCTGGTTTTAGGTTGAGCTCTTCAGAGAGAGGAAAAAAGAGCGTTTCAAAGCTAAAAGTTCAGCATCAGCACGAGTGTCAGCGTTCAAACGACACCGACCCAGCTGCAGCTGCCGCATGTAAATCTGCCTTTAGCTGCATCAGAGTCACTAAGACAAGGCCACAGAATTTACTACAGCTTCTGCAGAATCTGAGATCATCGCTGCAGATGAAACCTAATGGAATAAATTTGATTTATAAACACAGACGGAACTAACTGATAAAAACTGTGCTTGGAATGGGAGTAATTTACAAATGATCTTAGAGGCCACACAGAAGCTCAGCAGAGACGGAAAGAAAGCCAGAATTATGCAAAAATAGAAGAGTTGAACTAAGGATGTTTTCTTTGTTTGGAAAGAAAAAAATATTTTTTTCATTTTTAAATTTCCCCCCTTTAACTTCACATTCAGACTTCTGTGATGGTAATATGAACCTCAGATGTAGCAGGAAGCAGCGTCGGTCCCAAAGCTGCTCTATAGGGGAGCGTCGGCCATGTTGGGCCTCCTAATGTCCGTGCCACTAACAGGCCTTGTCCTGATGACGATGCCCCATCATGCCGCTATGGTCAGCAGCAGGTGGATCTCCTCCCTCCAGCCCACCTCTGAACTCTGGCTGCCTGCTGAGCCGCGCTGCTCTGCATGAAGACAGGCTGGTGTTTGGAAGCTGTGGGTGGCTTCATATCACTGCAGATTAAATCTGACACCTTCAGGATCTGCAACAATCCACGTTTGGTTCAGAAACAGCTGTGACGGGCTGGTGTGCAGCAAGGCGCTCTGCAGATGTTGGAACATTATCTCGGAGCTGTAATTTTCTTCTCCTCTGGGACGTTGAGCAACGCTAAGCTGCTGCCAGAACCTGCATGAAACCTGCCGTCAGAACCAGAAGTCTGAGCCAAAAAAAGAAAGCGAGGAGGAAAGGTTCTTTATGCGGCTCTTTCTTCTATTTTAGTGTGACGGTAGCTTTCAGCATCGGACTGGGACTTAAATGATCAAACCGCGCTGTGATCTCATCCACCGTGTGACAAAACATTGATAATGAAGACTTTGACAGTTGGTATATTTTTAAAATCCATCTTGCCGACCTCATTATGCTTCCTCCGCAGCTCCTTACAGGCAGCTGGACTGCTGCTCCAGTGCTGCAGAAAGCAGCAGTCCACTGCATGCCCCACCGCTATTACCAAAATACCCCCATCCACTGTGTACGGCTCTGCTTTTAATGGAAAAAGCCATTATATCTTATATTTAGCTGGTTCTCCTGAAATATGTGTATTTATTTTATACCCTGCTGGTCTTAGAATATAAACATTGTTTGATTTCTGAGCTTATTTTCTTCTTTAAGGTGTTCAGACTGATTTTGAATCTGTGCTCAGTAGCTTATGCTAACTCACATGGCTTCACCATCTTCCCTCTTATTCTGCCCGTTTTTCCATTCTGGTCCAAAGCAATGATGCAGACAGAATAACCTCTTTTTAACGTTTATACTTTAAACTGTATTTTTGTTTCTGGACCCGTTAAGATAAAAAAAAAAAAAAAAATAAAAAAATGAGCGAGGAACGTGGGGGGAGCATAGACTCCTTTATCGTATTATAAGGATTTTTATTTATTTTCTAAATGAAGAATTGGAATCTGTGTCGTTAAAAACTCTATATTATTATTATTTTTTTTTACTATCCTTTATTTCCCGATCTGGTATGAAATAGCGATTATTTTTAACCAATATTGTGAGTTTTACTAGGATTTTCTGTGGTACAAACCCCAAGCTTGTAAATTTTTCACTCCAGATGTTCAGTTTTTTAAACCTTGATTGCCCAAAATCTACTGCTGCAGAATTTTACTGTAACCTTTGGGCGAAAAATTCCTTATTTTTACTTTCACATACAGATCTGCATGCTAACTGCTACTCTACTTTACTGTTTAATGACTAACCCCCTTCATGAGTTTTAGTGCCACCTAAAGGGCTGAAATTAGAAATGTAGTTTCTTACTCTTGTTAAACTGAGATTCCCTGTGATTTGAAAATTGCATTTGTTAAATTATAATTATATTGCAAATGCAATGAACCGCCCTGCCCTGCGTTGGGGTATTGCATATGTTGAAGAATATGATTATATAGGGCTACTACAAGATGTTTATAGATATTAAGGGTGGAACGGTTCACAAAATCCACGGTTCGGTCCGGTTCATGGTTTCGTGGTCACGGTTTTCGGTTCGGTATATGTTGATTGTTAGGAAAATCTATTATGTCTTGTATAGTAAAACACAGGTTGCACAATGCTTGCACACTGTTGCACTTTTATCCACAACTTTCTTTCCGCCGTCATCGTAGGTCACTCTAAATGCAAAGTGGTCCCATACAGCAGACCTATAAAGTGCTGCTGGCGCGTCTTCCAACTCCTGTTCTTTCCCACTCGCCATACCCACACAATTCTCCACAACAACTGATTTTTTCCTGCTACACCTGGCTACGCTGCTTCGCTTCTTCTTCTTGTTTACTACTGGTGGTTGGCTTTGGTCGCAGTACCGCCACCTTCTGCTCTGGAGTGTAATCGCTTCCCCTATGAGGAAAAGGAGCAGCGCATGAACCGAACGCAACACACGCGAATCGAACCGAGACAGTCGAACCGAACGGTTCTGACGGTTTTCATAAACCGTTCCATCCCTAATAGATGTAAATCCAACTTTTTATTTAACCGGTGTCCTGAAGAAGAACTTAAATGTTTGCATTTAAAGGAGTATTGTATCGTTATCCACGAAAGGCTGCGAAGTAGTAATGTTTTTTTTTCTTGTTGCTTTTATCGCTTTAATGATTAATAGCATAAATGTTTAAGTTCATCAGCCCTACTGTGGACCAACCCGGTTTCTGGTGCGGATGTAAAGGGATTCCAAAAAAAGTAAAAAAAAACAATCCACTGAAGACGTTTCGCTTCTCATCCAGGAATCTTTCCATTTAAAATGTCAGCAAAAGCTTCCTGGATGGGAAGCAAAACTTCAAACTTGGAAATAAAGTCCAGTTGATTGTTTTTGAAAATTTTTTGGAATGACTGAGAATCTTCACCAATAGATGTAAAGGGAGCGTTTAAACTCCTTTAGTTTAGATTATTTTTTTAAAACGGATTTTGCTGCAGAATTTTCTCCTGCTGTATGGATCATAGCTGACTGTAACCCCTCCCCTACGTGTTGCTGCCTGAACAAAGGCCTTTGTCTTCTGTCTGAAGGCGTCATGTTGGTGTTTGTGGAGCAACGTTCAGCTAAACAGTCGTCCCTGCTGGGGGGGGAGCTACAGAGCCGACCTGTGGCTGTAGAAAGGATCTTTGAGGTGTGCTTGTTGTTGTTGGAAGCATCCTGGCTGCAGACTGTTTCAGTGTGTCGGCCTGAACACAGACTGGGACCACCAGGTGCTGATTATTGGCTCCGGTGGACCAGCAGATTGGGTTTCCAGCTGGAGCTCGGTCAGGGTCAGTTAAGGCTGCCCTGGCCTCATCGCTGTACAGAAATCCATGAGCGGTACCAGAACACGCAAACCCAGAATGAATTCATCCCATCAGGCATAACATTATGACCAGGCTGCTTCTAGAGACACACTGATGAGAAAAAATGATTGAAATATGAATGAAAATGGAACTTTTAAACATCTTAATGCTTTATATTTCTAAAGCATGGATGCCATAAAATTGAGTCCCGATGGAAAGATAATTTCGAATAAATATGATTTTTACTCACATGGAGATACATTTTAGTGGATGTGCTACAGTCAGCGTCCGATTAGTGGATGGCTTTTTCCAATTTTGCTATCAACACCATTCTATATTATTTCTGACAAAACATTAGGAATATGTAAAAAATTCCAAAAAAGAAAAATCCACTGGACTTTGTTTCCAAGTTTGAAGACTTTTCACTTCCCAGGAAGCTTTTTCAATTTAAAATGTCAGGAATAGCGTTGAGTTTGAGGTTTTATACAGCAGCCCAACAAATCCTTCGTTTTTGTTCAGAAAGCATGCTAACCTGTCTATGTTTCTAAAAGGAAATTGTTGGCCTGGCTGAACAGGTGAGGCCTTCTGTCCCTGTAGGGAATGAACCCAATTTCAGAGACATAGACAGGTATGGGGCTTTGCAGGAAAAGAAGCCAAACGACCCCCATTCCAAAGGGGTGGACCCGTTTGTCTGTGTCAATTAGCATGTTTGCTAAACTAAAACAACTGTTTTATACAACTGTGTAAACAACGCTATTCCTGACATTTTGAAATGAAAAGGCTTCCTGGATGGGAAGCGAAATATCTTCAAGCTTGGAAACAAAGTCCAGTGGATTGTTTTTGAACTTTTTTGGAATGACTTTGACCTGGATGAATAGAATATTCACCAATATGTTAAAAAGTTCCCTTGTTTGGTCGATATTTTAATCTGTTTTCTCATCAATGTGTTAGAGCTTAGGGCGATGCATGCTCCCAGTAAAGGGGAGGTCATTCTCAGCAGCAGGCATTTCTCAGCATTTATCTCTGTTTTATGGCATCCATGCATAAGAAATATGAAAACATTAATATGTTTAAGTTCTCTTTTCGTTCATATTTAAATCTTTTTTTCTCATCATTGTTCCAGAGGGGAGGTAATTCTCAGCAGGCAGGTATTTCTCTGAATGACACCTGTCCGTTGATCTGCTGCAGCTCTCCCACGTCTCCCAGGACTGCCATCTTGTATTGGTCCTCACACGTAACGTTTCAACTCTGCTGTTTGTTTTTCAGGTTTGTCAGGAAACCCGACTGATTTGGAAAAACGTCACGCTGCGTTCGGGAAAAACTTCATCCCTCCAAAAAAGGCTAAGACCTTCCTGCAGCTGGTGTGGGAGGCACTTCAAGACGT